AGGTACTAATCACCCAGTGAAAAAGACTCACACACAGATGCCAAAAGAAATTGGATTTTAAATAATCCATTGGTTTGCTTATTTCTCGTGGAATAAAGGTGTGGCAGTCTGCTTCTGTAAAGGTTACATCCTTGAAAACCCTGCTGTGTCCCATAGGGTTGCTATGAGTCAGAATCTACTCGATGGCAATGAGTTTGGGTTTTTATTTATTTATTTACTTGGGGTGGGGGCGGTTGCTTATTTCTCATGATGACTAATTTGTTAGTTATTCTGTAATTCAGCCACTCAGATAAATTCTAGGCCACCAATAGAGCTGAAGCATGCATGTGTAGAAATCAAATGCAGAGTGTATGAACACTTGATCGTTTGGTGATGTGTGTGTACCTGTGCCTTGGAATGTATGATTCTAACCTTGTTGCGTATCTGATGCTATTCTAAAGCCAAACATATTATAGATTATGTTATCTGTTTGCCTTTTGACTGTTTTTGCTGACCTCTTTCCATTTGATTTTTAATAAAAAATATTGGTGGGAGGGGCCTTAAAATAGAGAAACAATCTATAGGTTACAAAAAATTTGAGAGACTTTCATTATTCAATTTTACAAAGTATAGCTCAGAGAATGCCACAGTTCAGGAGAGCAAAAATTGATATGTGTTGGAATTGAAAATGATTCTTTGATAAGTGAAGCCGACCAACATTTCCAGGGGGATTGTAGCCTGAAGGAAAGTTTCCTGGGCTCCAGCCTCTGTTATGTTTACCTAACAATGAGCCATAGAAGTCTGGACAGATGGCTGGATTCCAAAGTGTTTCTCATGTTGCAGTATTTTCTTCCTGTTGTCTCCCCCTGAATTCTAGAGGGGAAAGGAAAAATGCTATAACTTTCAAAAAGCATAAAGAATATCTTTAGTATATTTTTGGGAGTCATGATTCCTAACAATTAATTATCTTTGAAATCTTGCCCCTTTTTGGAAATGGTTTCATGGTTAAAATGTGATTGCTTATTGTGCATAGTATGATTTATCTTCCTTACTATCTTTGTTGCTGAAATATAAAATAGAAGATGTATTTATGTCTTTTCCTAGATGATCTCTTTCATGTTCCTTGTCTCAAAATATGGCACCATTGTCCATTGAGTTTTGAGCTATGACAAGGCAGAAACCTGGGACTCATCCTTAATACCATTCATAGCCATCCAATACTGATACTGCATTTACTCCCTACACATCTCTCAAATCTGTCCACTTTTCTACATCTCTAACATCACTACTCTGGTCCAAAGTCCCAACATCTCTCACATGGATTATTGCATTAACTACTTAACTGATCTATTTACAGTCACTACCTTTTCTCCCACCCACGGACACCTATCTAATACACACTGCAGCCAGAACCAGAGCGATTTTTTTTCCAAATGCGAATCTGGTCATATTCCTACTGCCACCAGTAGTTTCCTATCACTCTCAGGATAAAGACAAAATTCCTTACCTGGCACTCAAGGCCTTGCACGGCGTTACCTCTCTAGCCTTATTTCGACTTTCTCCTTTTATCTCTAGTTCAACAACCTGTCCTTCTTTAATTCCCTCTATTTTTCATTCCATGGCACCATTTTAACTTCACTAAGTCCAGTTCTACTTTCAACACTCCTCCCTTGACCTGACCTAGCTTTACCCAAATGATTACGTCAAGTCCTATTGTTTGCCCTTGTAGAACCACATATCTTATCTCTCTTTTACAGCACTTGAACAAAAGGAAGAGATTTATGATCCTTTGCCTCAGGAACTGGGGTTTCAAACTAGGATACAAAAGCAAAGAAATATATTTATTTAGTAATCAACTTCTAAAATTTAAGCTAACATTTCTAAGCCACAAAGAAAAAGATACTTTAAAATACTATATTCAAAAGTACTGGGGATTTTTCAGTAAATAAATAGCAGATAGTCTTCAGCAATAGAAAATCTGGTCTATCTAGACTGCTGCTGGGTATATAATTTAAGAGTGGGAAGGATCTTAACAATTGTTCCAACCAACTCCCTCAAAATACAGATGAGAAAAGTAAATCTCAGAAGAAGTTTCACAAATAGTTAATGAAAGAGGATAAAGTGGGGCTAATCAATGAATGTCTGTTGAGCAGTATTATGTGTACTGGTTTTCTGTTTCTGAGTCCTCTTTTCATTACTACATGCCGTCTCTGCTTTAAACCATATTCAGAAACAGAACAATTAAAATTTATTTTAATTTACCAATAAAGGAAGGCTGCTTTCTGCCGTAAAAGGATGATACGGCACCAATAAAATGTTAGTATAAGCCTTATGGAGTCCCTGGATGGTGCAAATATTAATGTACTCAACTGCTAATCAAAACGTTGGCGATTCAAGTCCACCCAGAGGCACCTTGGACGAAAGGCCTGGCAATCTACTTCAGAAAATCAGCCATTCAAAACCCTATGGAGCACAGTTCTATTCTGACACACATGGGGTTTCCATGGGTCATAATCAACTCAATGGCAACCTTCCTTTTGTTTTTTTATATAAGCCTTTTAACAAAAGGGAGATGTGCTATGAAAATTATATTATAGTGCATAGTTTTATTTCTTTGTTCATGAGCTCCTTCATAATTCCTTGTCACACCACCCTTTCTATATGAATTCATTAAAAAAGTATCCTAAGTTAGAGGATCCCCTTCTCACGTTCATTTAGGACTTGAGGAAAAGTGAATGTCCTACTCACCCACAGTTTACTCCAAGCAAAGCTTTTTCTTTACCTTCTCCATCAACAAATTTTCTCAGCCTCCATACCAACCTTCTATTATAGTCACCATCTCCTTTTTTCAAGGAATGGTAAGAATGGGATAGTGTTGCTACATAGCCTCTTGTCCACTCTAGTCCACTCATTAGCTCTCTTATGCATGCAGTACACAGAGGGGGTGGGCATATACTCCTCTATTCTTTGTAACAGCAGCATGAGGATAAAGCTCTGATCAGCCCTTACTGCTTTGTTCTTTTCATAGAGATGCAGGCTTGTGCCACAAACACACTGTGACTTATTGACGTATGAGCTAAAAGAGACATTGGAAACCATTGAGTCCAACAACCCAATCCATGCAGGAATACTTTCTGAAATATCCTGAACAGAGGGAGGATTACACTTATGCTTAAATACTTCTATCGCCTTACTTATATGAATGCTCTTTCGTGTAACAAAGCAGAAGACGTACTACATTCATGGACTGTGCTTGTGTCTTCTTCATCAACAAATACATGATTATTTTAATAAAAACAAGCATGTAGCATCCTAAACCCTTGCTTTGGCAGTTCTATCTGGGTGAAGTACTGGTGTGTGTGTGAAAACCCAAAACATAAGGAGCGTATCAGTCAGGATAGCATAAGAAACTCCAAATTTAGATTACGTAGTTGACTCATCCTTCATTTTCTTTTCCTGTTAAGTCATAGAATAGAAAAAAGGAAAAAGAGAAAATGCTTTTTCCTATTTCAGATTGAAAATCAACTTCTTAAAGTGAGGCTGTTAGGTAGAAGAGCACATTTTACCTCCACTACCAATACATAGGTGCCCTGGTGGTGCAGTGGTTAAGAGCTCAGCTGCTAACCAAAATGTTGGCAGTTCGAATCAACCAGCTGCTCCCTGGAAACCCTATGGGGCAGTTCTACTCTGTCCTATAGGGTTGCTATGAGTCAGGATTGACTCAACAGCAACGGGTTTGTTTGTTTGTTTAACCAATACATATTTCACTGTTTCAGCTTTTTCAGTTATTACTTCACTGCATGGATAAGCTGGGGGAGAGAGGAACTAGAGCCATCATATATCTGTTACTTTCTTCCCTTTCCGACTCTCTTCTTGTGGTAATAAATTCTACATGCCCTGTAAGAATGTGTAGGCCAGACAGGAGCTCCACTAACTACTCTGGCAAAGTCAGAAATGATATAATTTCCTTTATTTTGTTTACGATGTAATAGAGGAAAAATGGACCAAAATAATAATAATAATAATAAACTTTTTCTATTTGTTTGCCAGGCATTTTTGTACTGTCAATAAGTTGTGTTCTTGAATTTACCTTGAGTATATAGTTCATTATGTCATGCTTATATTTACATAAGAAATCCCTCAACTGTGTATATGTTAAATAGCGATGTAAGTAGTTCCATCCATCCATGTGATAGACCATCCATGTAATAGATCTAGGAATTGGATGTTCTGGGACATCGTTTTGCTATTTTATTTGGCAGTGTGCCTGGCAGTGAAGACCTTTAAATTTGACAGCTGTCATTGCCTATCTTGGTCCAAACTATACGATACTAAATACCATGAAGAATACTTCACAGGGGAAATCAGCAGTGGGTTATGAGAGTGGTAAACTTCATATTACCATGTGCTTGCTTCTGAATATTAGAACTGTTAGCCAGATGCTTCCTGTAGGCTTCCAGAGAGGCAGAAAGTATGGTGCTTCTGGTATACAGAGGCACTGATGTGAAGTCTGCAGAAGATATATAAATCACAGGGTATATTCATTTCATTTGAATCTGTGTGATTTCACTGACTTCACTCTGGGTGACCAGGAGTCTGCATCAGGATCCTCTCCCTTCTGCCCTTTGATGCCTCTGAGTGCTGCCTATCTAGACCAGGCCCTGCAGTAATTTCACACACTCCCCTAATAAAGTCCTCAGAGGCCATCATGTATTTTCATGTGTTTGCTCTATTATCCCTCCCTGCTTGAGTCTTACAGATAATTGATGATGCTTCTGTTAATCATCTTTCCCTCCCTTTTGTTCACCAGGTACCTTGCCTTGAAGGGCCTCCTTTATTGAGAATCGATGTCTCTTTCTAGGTAATTGATCACTGTAGACCCAGGGACACCCAATTCATCGTCCAGGGAGGGTAATCATCATGAATAATCAAAAGGCTGTAGCTGCGCTACTGCAAGAGTGCAAGGAAGTGCTGGACCAGCTCTTGTTGAAGGCGTCAGACATGTCAGAGGAGGACAAGAGAGAGGACCAGCGGTGCAGAGGTGAGGCCCTGATGGGAGATACCGGGGTGTGAGCCAGCAGGTTCACGCTCCTCTCCCCTGCCTAAACGACATGTTCTCATCTCTGCCCTATTTTTCTTCTCTTGGCAGATGACCACCAAGAGATGAGTGGATTTCTAGGCCATGAATGGGACATGGGCTGCGGGTGGACGGGCAGGGGAGGAAGCCCACTTTGTTGCAGTGAATTGCTGTCAGTTCTAATTTTAGGCTTCAGTAAACATGAGGCTACAAGAAACAGTTTAGTTCAAGTAGAACAAAGGGTCCAAGTTGGCTGGTGCACGTAAATTTCAATTATTAAAAAATTAAAGCAACTTCTGAATGGTGGCACATACTTTTTTTCAAAGTAGGATTTTGTGCCTCATCAGTTTCCATACGCTTCTACAGTTTCCATAAATATGTCATCTCACCAGTCCAGTCTCTCCCTATCTCTTTTTTGTTTTGATTCATTTCATGCTATATGTGAAATAATCCACTCATATTGACAAATACTGATTGCATCATTATCAGGGCTTAAGAATTTGTTTTTTTGCTTATTTCATAGCTTGCACATTCATAATTTTAGATAAGTCATTGTTCTGGGAAGTTTTAGTCACAAAACCTAGACAGTCAAGGCAATTATTATTTCTTCTTCAGTCAGTTTTGAGGAGGCAGCCCTCTTTCTTTAGTTTTTTTTTTAATTCTAATAATTTTTCCTCTATTTCTATGTGTCCCTTTTAATATTTTTCTTTACATTTGTAGTGCTTTGTTTTCCCTTCCAGAAATAAAGTTCCCATGTAAAATGTACATTCCCTATCTCTTTTGTTGTTGTTTGTTATGTAATGGGAAAACGTTCTGGGAGAGTCTCTTCCCCACATTCTCATATATACTCATTGACGTCGAGTAGATTCTGACTCGTAGACCTTTAGGACCCTATAGGACAGAGTAGAACTGCCTCGTAGGGTTTCCAAGGCTGTAAATCTTTCTCCCCAGGAGTGATTGTTGTGTTCAAACCAGAGACCTTTCAGTTAGCAGATGAGCAATTAACTACTATGCCACCAGGGCTCCTCATTCTTAAGTATAAACGAAAACCAAACCTGTTGCCCTCGGATAGATTCCGACTCATAGCGACCCTTTAGGACAGAGTAGAACTGCCCCGCAGGGTTTCCAAGCAGCAGCTGGTGGATACCAACTGCCGACCTTTTGATTAGCCAAATGCTTAACCACTGCACCACCAGGACTCCATTCCCATATATAGGCACATACATTTTTACAGGGGCTCTTTTAGGAGCCTGTAGCAGTCTTAATTATTTGTCACCTGTCATTTGCGCTCCTTTCAAGATACAGTGCAGTCAGTTTTTTATCCAGTCATTTCACTTTAGTTCGTGTATTTTTCTTCCGTTACTAGCCAGATACATCAATGTGTGACTTTGTCAGTTATCAACATGCCAGTCAGCTGAGATCACACCTGTATGCCAGCAGGTAGGGAATGGCAGGTGCTCGACACCTCTAGAACGTGTCCTGTTGCTGGACCTAGTTCTTTGCGGAAGCAATGTTGTGTGTTGTTTCTGCTGAAGTTTCTTTCTTGTCCTTTTACTACACTGCATCCTTTGTCTCCTCAACTCAAATTCCTTTAACCTTTGAGTACTCCCTAGGGAAGACTCTGAACCCCCTAATCAGGTAGCATTGTCTTTTTCTTTTCAAATGCTATGAAACAAGAGAAGTGATCAGTTTAGTTCCTTATAAGGCAAATCACAGCTACAAAATCACTAAATTAGACCCAACCTTTCAGGTAAGCTGCTGGGGGAAGTAAGTGTTCAGAGGGGGAGAGGAGGCTCCTGCTCTGAGTGGGAATGATGGCCCTGGTTGGCTGAATCCCACAAACCACAAGAGGACAGCTCCTTTGCGAGCCAGCGACAATCACAGTGTTAGCTGACCACAATGTAGTGCCTGTGCAGAGTGCAGGGATCGGAGGGCTGATTGGATGCGTCGGATAGCCTTCCCTCGGCAGGTGGTCTCTGAACAGTTCTAACAGGCGGGTGGTGCTGCCGCCGCCGATGTCGTCAGCCTGAGAGAAAGGCATTAGTACAGGGTCACTTATGGCGGCAGGGCGAGTCGAGGGGACTCTGGAACACAAACACTGTGGTTTTTATTCTTTTCTCTCCTCCTCCCAACCCCATCCTTTTCCCTCAGAAATTGTCCTTGTCAGCATGGGTGACTGCTCCTAGCAACTTCCCCAGAGATGAACAAGAAACTGAAATCCAATCAGAGACACTTTTTTTTTTATTGTGCTAAAATATATATATCATAAAATCAGTCATTGTAATCACTTTAAGTGTACAATTCAGTGTCAGTAATTATATTTACAATATCTAGAACCATCACCACTATTTATTTCTATAAGTTTTCATGACCCTAAAGAGAAACTCTGTACCCATTAAGCTATAGCTCCCCATTCCCCCTGTGTCTATGCATTTGCCTATTCCAGATATTTCATATAAGTGGGATCAAACAATAAAATTGTCCTTTAGTGTCTAGCTTATTTCATTTAGCATAATATTTTCAAGATTCATCCATGTCATAGCATGTATTACAGGGATATATTTTTTTAAAAACCCTATTTTAGAGGCAGCTTATATTTCAGTAGTTGCCACTAGAGTACGTGTCCTAACATAACCCTTAGGGTATGGGTGGTGTGGAGGAGGCAAGAATGAGTTGTAAAAAATAGATTTTCTCCATTATTATGAAGAAATTTGAAAATATTCCAACTATTCTGTCTCAAAGTATGGTAAAATTCTATGAACCCCCAAATTGCATTTCTGTTTGTCTTTTGATTACCTGTATTCACTCATGAATAGCATGTCCTTGTAATTTATCAGTTAAACTAGGACACTTTTGAGAATGAAAGGGATGCTATTAATAAATATGCCAGGATGACAACCATAAACCAGGACTGTCCTAGGCAAACAGAACTGAATGGTCCTCCTATTCATAGGCTAGCAAGAACTGTCCTTTAAGGAATTTTCTCTACACATACACTGGAAACATCTTCAGAAGTTGAAATTTTGTCAGTGGCTGTAAGAAGACCAGGCTTTCCAGCAGAACGTGACTATATAGGTTCCTAATCCTGTGGCTCTGCTTTCATTGGAGGGAAGCTGACATACTGGAGTAGGGGCTCAGTAGTTCTGGTTTGCTGAATAGAGGCGATGATTTCAATGTGATACTTGTATGTCATTCTTAGTAATCTATCCAGATCATTCATCGGCATGGCTCATCTGATATTCCCTCAGTGCCAGCCAGTCCTTCCCCACCTTGTTGAGATAGACTTCCTTACATCTGCCCGGTTGGTGGCAAGGCCACAAAAAGCATCATGGACCATGGCAGAGTTAGATTTTCTCCATTCTCTTCTTTTTGTCTCTTGCTCTCTTTGTCATATCTCTTTTGTTTTATTTAGCATGTTTCATGTCAGCGAAGAGTGAATCCTTCTTGTAACCATCATGATGTGATATACAGAAGAGATAAGACAGGATTCTCACAGTCCAGTGAGAGACATGAATGTGGTTGCAGAGCAGTGGGATGGACGCTAAAAGGGATGGACGCAATATTTATGTTGAATGCTGAAGTTAGTGGATCTGAGCTCAGTCATGAAGCGGATGGGGGAAAGGCAATTCTGACAGCAAGAACAGCATGTGAAAAACAGTTGAAGAATTTTTTGCAGAACAATGGCCTGATCCGTCCTGTGTTTTATAAAAAGGAATAGGAAGCAGTAATTTGGGCAAAAATTACAGAGAATGAAGAGGAGGAAATGCATTTTAGAGTCCATAAGATCTGATAACCAATTAGATTCAGGGAATGAGAGAGAGTAAAAGTCTAGAATGACTTCTGAGTTTGTTTCTGATTTGGATGACTCAATGGATAGTGGTACCATTCACCACCATAGAGAATACAAGGAGGAAATAAACAAACAACCAGAGTTAGAAAAAAAGGTTCAGATAAAAGTTCACTACAATAGAGAATACGGGGGCAGGGCGGGGCAGGGGGGACAGCAATCAGAGTTTAGATATATGGAGTCTGAGATGCCTATGAGACAAGTACATAGAGATTTATGCAGCTGGCTGTTGTTGTGTGCCGTCGAGTCAATTCTGACTCATAGTGACCCTATAGGACAAGGTAGAACTGCCCCATAGGGTTTCCTAAGCTGAAATCTTTATGGGAGCTGATTGCCAGGTCTTTTCTCCTTCAGAGCAGCTGGTGGGTTCGAAGTGTCAACCACTATCCCTTATCTAAAACTCTGGGGGTCATATGTGTTTCAGAATTCAGAATTTTTCAAATGTTCAGAAGGTAGTATGGTACATGTACCATATGTTGCATTCACACTCCAGCAAAAGCTGAGGCAGCAACCATAATCAAACTCATTAAAATTTTTGCAGTAAAATTCTCAAATAATCATACTAAGTAAGATGAGCAAGATTGTGTTTCACTCAGCATAATATTTTCAAGGTTCATCCACGTTGTGGCATGTATCAGGACTTCATTTCTCTTTATGGCAGAGTAATATTTTATTGTATGTGAAATAAGTCAATCTTAGCTAAAAGAACAAATATTGTATGATCTCCCTAACATGAAGTACCTAGAATAAACACATATATGGAGATGAGAGTTCAATAGTGGTTACCAGGGGGGTGGGAAGGAGGTGGAATAGGGGGAATTATTGTTCAGGAAGCATTGAGTTTTTGTTTATGGGGATGGAAAATTTAGGAAAGCATGTTGGTGATGGTTGCACAACATGATTGCTGTAATTAATCTCATTGAATTATCTATATTTTTACAATAAAAATAAAGTAATAAAAAAGATAAGCAAGACGATAAATAGTCTCTAATCAATGCAAGTCTGGTTTTGGTGGCAAACTTAAGAAAAAACTTTCAGCTTCCAGAATTTTTTGGGTTGCTGAAGCTTGGATAGGGGATTGTGGACCTGTGTAAGTAGGTTTGTTGCCCAGTAACAGGTTTAGTATAGCCATTAATATAAAACAGGGCCATCTCCATGATTAATTGGTACCATTTAAAACCTAATATGTATCTTTCATATTTATTTCTCTGTTCAAACGCAGCCCATAGTGAAAGTACAAGATAAGATGAGGTCTTGAAGAAGCAAAGAAGTGTTGTACAAATTGACGCTGCATTATCCAGCTGCCACAAGCCTAAAATGCCATTCCATCCCAGTCCCTTTCTCATTTTACAGGGAAAATAATATTTCCTTCATTCCTTTCTCTGATTCTTCATGCAGAGATAGTCAGTGAAGTGCTTTACTTCCTGCTAAAAACCTTTCTTAATGCCTGACTACCCCAATTTACCTGTAGGGCAAAGTAGACTAGGGCCACCCCTGACAGATAGCTTCTTGCTATTATTCTTTGAGTCAGAACCAACAGCTTAGACCAGGCAGCAAGAGGTAGGAAATTTTTTTTTTGCAGCTGAGGTGCTTCATCATAACACTGGTAGCTCAACAGCCTTTTCTTTGACTGCAATTTCCTTACCTGAACTCTGACCTTTTCAGCTTCACTCCCCATCGAGTTAAGGACGCTGATCCAGGAGGCAAAGGAAATGAAGTGGCCCTTCGTGCCTGAAAAGTGGCAGTACAAACAAGCCGTGGGCCCAGAGGACAAAACAAACCTGCAGGATGTGATTGGCGCCGGGCTGCATCAGTTACTGGTAGGAAGAGCCACACCACCTGTTCCTCTGACACCCCCCAAGCGAGGCACTTAGACTCTAAGTGGTCTCATAGATTAAATTTCTTTGAAGCACAAAACAGCCCCCTTCCCTTATGGTCAGCTCTGCCAGGTTGACTAATGTGGGGAAATAGCTGTTAGAAAAGTGTCACTTGCCTATAAGACCTTCTGTTGGAAAGCCAAATCCAGTAAAAGTGAAGAAGGGCAGCCAGTGGGTCTAATGTGAAGCCCATCATCCTGAAATATTTACAAATTCTTGGCGGGTCAGAAGCAGTAGTTGTGATTTCACTGTGTCTCACAGAGGTTTTATTTTGAAATGCCACTTTCTAAAAGTTGAGTTGCTTAAAAATATAAACTCCCTGCTGTTCTGTCAATGTGACTTAACTCTTTAAGTGGTTGAAGTCGGGAGTGTCCCTTTCCTGATCCCACGTGCGATCCTGCTCACTCCCTTATCTCCTAATGATTAAGATTGTTTGGGGAAGCATCAAGTCAAAGCCAATGACGTGTTTATTCCTTGACTTAGTTATTAGAAATTAATCTAACTGGTACCCCCACCCCAGATAGGAAAGAACTCCAAGAAAAACGCATGAACTCAGATTTATGCTCAGAATTCAGGCTTAGGTTCTGGGAATGCTATAAGAAGTGCCATTTTCCTTTTTGGTAGCATTGCTTTTTACACACCTTCTCTCAGATGATTGTCAAGGAAGAAAGTCTACTAGCTTATATACACTTTTTTTCTCACATAAAGATGTATTTGTCTGGAGACCAGGTATTAGAATCAATGCTCCCCCCAGCAAAAAAAAATTTGTTGACGTCGAGTCAATTCCAACTCATAGCAACCCTGTTAGGACAGAGTAAAACTGCTCCATAGGGTTTCCAAGGAGCAGCCAGTGGATTCGAACTACTGACTTTCTGGTTAGCAGCCATAGTTCTTAACTACTGCGCTACCAGGGCTCCTAGAATCAATGACAGTATCCTAAAAATTTTTGTTTATCTGTTTACATGTGGTGATGTTTGGGTCATCCCAAAATAAATGTATAAAACACTGTCTTTGCTGATCAGAGCAAAAGCCTGGGAAAGACACCTGGATCTACGTACCCATAGCAGCATCTTTAGAGACTTAATAGAAACAGTAGGCCCCCTACCTTCCCCAACCTCCAAAACAAATAAACAAAACAGATTTAAACAGACTGGAGACTGCAGGCAAAGGAAAGTGAGTACTTGGAAAGAATTTGATGATAAGCCAGGGCTTTAAATAAGTGTGCTTGGTATTAGTAGAAAAGTGGAATTGAATAATAACTATAATTTGTATGTCACTGTAGAGTTTAAAAAGAATATTTTCACGTGCTTCATCTCATTAAATTCTCAAAATAACCCTGCAGTGGTTATTACCATTTTCATCTCCATTTTACAAATGAGGAAATTAAGGTGCAATGAGATTAACTTGCCCAGGAGGGAGTCCAGTAAATGGTGGGGCTATGACTCACAGCCCCTTCCTCTGACTGTCATGCTCCCTCAGGAACCCCAAGTGAAGAACTGAGAAGCACAGGTAGAAGCCCTGAGACTTGTTTAACGCAGCCTGTAGGCTGTCTAGGAGAACCTTCTTCAATGATGGAAATGTTCTATTTCTGCACTTTCCAACACGTTAGGCCCTGGCCACATATGGCTATTAAAAACCCACTGCCGTTGAGCTGATTCCAGCTCATAGTGACCCCACAGGGTTCCAAGGCTGTAAATCTCTACGGAAGCAGACCACCACATCTTTCTCGCTCAGAGCCGCTGGTGGTTTCCAGTCGCTGACCTTTCGGTTAGCAATTGATCGCTTTAACCACTGCACCACCAGGGCTCCTTATGTGGCTATTAAGCATTTGAAATGTGATTGCATGACTGAGGAACTGAATTTTCCCTTTTATTTCAGTTTAATTAATTAATAATTAAATGTGGCTAGGGGCTACATTTTTGGACAAACGCAGCTCTAAAGCAGTGGTTCTCAAAGTGAGTGATTCCCAGTACAACAGCATAGCATCATTTGGAACTTGCTGGCAATGCAAATTCTTGGGCCCCTGGGTCTACCAAATCAGAAATTCTGGGGGTAAGGCCCAGAAATCTGCGTTAGACAAGCCCTCGAGATGATTCTGATACATGCTAAAGTTAGAGAACCATGGCTTAAAGAGAAAAGTGGTGAGTGAAGGGGAAAGGTCTGAGGAATTTAAAAGGAAAAGAGGCAAGGTAAGGCATAAAGGGGTTGTGAAGGAGGAAGAGGAGGAGAATCCAGTGTGGATGTTGCAGAAGTCTAATGAGAAAAGGAATTTCTTTTCCATCAATCCAGAGAACTGTTTTAGACTGAAGCCATTCCCAGTGAGCCAATGGTTGCTTCCCTTGCTTGGAGAGCCGTTGTATGATTCAGTCAGTGGCATCTACGAAGTTTACGAGGATTCTAAGGTGAGAGGAGAAGACCCTCCCAGAGGATGTGACCCCTGATTTGACATGTAAAGTTCCCCTGAATTTTGACCATAGTCTGAGAGACTGAGATGCAGAATACCATTATTACCAGAGTTTTACGCCTCTAATCTCACTCTGCAGTCACCAGATCACTGCCCTCACTCCCAGACCACCACCACATTCAAAGCTGGTAGTGACATCAGCTGAAAATCCAAAGGCAGTGTTTTTAAAAATTCAGGTCTCACTGTATTGGGGGATGAATGTGAGTTTAAGACAAGCTGCTCATAGTTGTTAGAATATTTTAAGAATCTGTTACTCGTCCATAGATCACACAGGTTTCATATGAGGGAGATACAGCCATAGAGAATGTAAGTTTATGCCCAGCTCACAAGATTGCTCAATGGTAGCTCTAAGAATCAATCTGTTAGGACTTCTTTAGTTCTTAATGTATTTAATCAGGGAGCTTTTTGAACTCTGAGAATCATTTTGTTTAGCTTACCCAGCGAGCTATAAATTAAGCAACCACACCTCCTAAAGACTTTTAGTATGCTCTCCTATTGTGTCAGACCCCAAGTGCACAACTGCTAAACTACTCTGTTTTGTAAATACACAGGACTATAGCACCCTGTGAGCCAGGCTCTTTGAAACTACTCTACTGTCAGTATCTTGGCTTGTTAAAAGTAGCTGGAGTAAACTCTATGATTTGTTTTTGTCCCGTTATGCTGTTGGTTTCAATATAGGCTCTACTGAAGTTAGATGGTCACATTTTAATGATTGATTAATTGTATGATTCCATTATTACATAACAAAGGCTCCTGCGCTTTCTTTTCAATTCTCACATTATCTCTTTCTTAGTTTGTCCATAAATCTAAACTTCTCCTTGATTTTTTTTTAACCTTGAGATGAATCCTTCCCATAAAAAGTTTCCTCCCCATTTTTAAAATTAGCATTACATTTAGAGGGCAAACATTTTGTCTTTAAGTCAATTACACAAATAACACACCAAAGTTAAACATAGAATAGCTAAGGAAAAGGCAAGTCATATGCAACTATTTCCTATAGTGCACGAGTTGGTCTTATAAAATGAAGGGCCATTTATAGTTTCATTCTCTTAAGCTGAACTTAATTAAGACAAATTATATGCATTTTATGTTTCACTTTCTGTCTCTACTGCCTTCTCCATTTTCTCCCTCCCCCCTCCCCGTTCTCCTTCCCCCCCCAACCCCCCAATCCTTTTTCCTTTGGTGAGTGGCCACAGACAGAAATTTATGGCAGGGGCCAACCTCTTTTACACTCCACACAAAGCTTGCTGCCTTGAGAGAGTTTGTCCGCTCTCTCCCAGAAAAAACACCTGCAGGACGCTCTCCAAGAAACCCGGAGAGATGGGAGATTAATGTGGCTGTAATAGCCAGGCAGTGTTTTTGGTATTATGCCCTCTCCCCAGGTAGATGGGTCTTTTCCGAGATGATACCAATTATTTATTGCTGAAACATCTGTTGATAACTGCAGCTGCCCTTGTGAAACAAAGCATATCATGGGGTCACAGGCTATGAGGACCCAAAATCCCACCTCATGCTACTTTTAGACTATTCAGCAACATCGTCAAGTCCATGGGTGACCATCATCTTTAATGTCTCATCATGCCATAGAAAAGACTTTGTAAACACTGCACTGCCCTGCCCTGCAGGCTTTGAAGTATTATTTCATCTTCATCAGTAATTTATATTCCAGCGCCATTGTACTGTGGGAAAAAGAGGGGGAACCTTTTTTGTTTTCCATCCAATTGTATATCGCCTGACACTTTGACCTGTATTATTAGTATTAGTCAGAAAAAGGATTTTCTCCCTCTCTTATTTAAAAATAAAATTTCAAGGGAAAGTAAGCGCTCCTTCAGCTCTTTTCACTCAAAACAATGTTTACACTCTGAAAGGGAAAGATGAAAAGCACGAGCAACTTTTTTCAAGTGTCGGAGAAGGGCATTTCAGTTTGTGAAAGAGAACAGTAAGGCCCTTATAAATATCATTCAGCAAAACCTTTGATGGATTTTTTCAAAAAGTATTGAAGGCATTTATCATCGGCTTCTGGCGAGCTCGGCTTGGGGCTGTTGCAGCAGAGCTCTAACTAGGATGGCCTGTCCTTGCTTCTGGGACCCCAGGGAATGAGGACACCAGCCTCGATGTGGATGCCACACTTTGTAATTTTTCCAATAGCGTTCACTCTTCTAAAAAGAACAATTTCTACACAATTAAAATCTCAAAATAAAGCTTTTAAAAAGTGAGACAGAGGGCATATTTGGATTTGCATGCCTGTGGCATTGGGAGCAGATTGGGCTGCGAGGCCAGGAAGAATTGTTATGACAGACTCTGTGAGCATTCTCTGCGCAGGTTTGGGGATCCTGATGCTGATGGGTGCCAGCCTCTCCCTGTGTCAGTTCCTGCACAGCGAGGGAGCATGCTCTGTCAGCCCTGAATTTAGTATGGTGTCTTTTCAGGGAGACACAGGGTAATTTCTATAGGTTGATTAAAGCACAGGCCAAGGAGA